AAGAACAGTATTTATTTGAAATAGAAATATTTTATTTTATCTATACACACATTAATATATATAATATAATATTAATAATTCAGTCATACAACAGTTGTCACAGATATGAAAATTCATCATAAAGCATAAAAAAACTTTATACAGACTTGATGTGAGTTGTTAAAAATGGATGATCCTCATTTGATACTCTTATTAGTTTGATGAACTGTCTGGTTTTGCACTGTGCTTGACCACATGATTTCATGAGCCACCCACAGAATGAACCCGACCCAGTTCTATGGAGGAAATGGGAGAGGTCTGGTACATTTTCCCCTGCAACAAGCATGCCAGTACCCCTGAAGTCAGCACCTGTGTTCTAAAAGAAGCCCAGGCAACAGGAGACCCAGGGACAGAGATGAGGCTTACTCTGAAACCCAACACTCTGCACCCTTTTAACAGCATCAAACTACCACAAATAGCCAGCAGCATTGCTCTTCTCAGGAATAGTACCATGCATGCTCAACAATTACTGTTTCCTGTGGCTGCCCATGACAGTAACAAATTAGACATTTCCATTTATATCATTACAGAGTATTACAACATATGCCGCCAGTAATAACCACAGGTCATTACACCTGTTAGTGAAGATATTTTTGCTTCTAAAGCTAAGAATATGCCGTAATTTTCCATAATCTTAAATTGTTTACTGTTCAAATGAACGTTGGGTTAAAAACAGAATCCATACAAGAAATATAAAAATGTAAAAAAGGAAAAATCCACCATGATCAGTTGTCATTTTCAGTAGCCAATCCCATGGAAGCTGTGAAACAATTGTAAGTGTGTGTCTTTAAAGCACTACGGAAACAATACAGAGCAAGTATTCACTGGTGTCAATGGGAAAACAGAGGACGAGAGAGAGCAAGACAGAGAGAGAATGCTCAGTGTTTGAGGAGAACGTAAGCTCCAAATCTGACCGCTCTGTTTATTTTTAACACAGGCAGTCAAGCTGGGCCCCACGGTGCTAATAACTTTGTTTCTCTCTGACACTAGCATTTGGCCAGCAGCATCCCAGTTTATTCTAAGAGGTCATATAGCGCTGTCTTTTTCCGGAGGCTATACAATTTTTCAGGCAGTGCAATTTAAAGAGCTGATTCCCAGGACAGAAACGCAGAGCACTTGAAGTAGCTAGCTATAATCTTTTTTACATTTCTGCTCCATTGCATAGAAACAATGATACTGTGGTTGTTGTGTTGAATGGAGCTTATTAATCATATAACCACAGTTATACATATGAACATCCATGTTTTCACCCATAACTAAATCACCCATAACCCTTACTACTGTTGAGAAATAATTCCTTTCTTTCACTCAGACCCTTAATCTAGAGGCCTTTTATGACAGATAAATGCAAAAGGTTGTGAATCATGTTCGGTCCCACATAGGATAATAACTTGACAGAAATTATGAGAGAAATGTATTAACATTGTACATTAGAATGTGCATCTTGAAGTAATAATAACAATAGTAATACAATTTATTAAATGTATTTTTTTAAGGAATATCAAATAATATCAATAATGTTTCATCCATGTTTAAATTTAAACTGTAAACCTTTGTTATGCAGCACTTTGTTTGCCCAAAAATTAAAGCAATTGTTCATATTTCATTTGATTACACTTTAAAAGATTAAATTGTTAAAGTTTTATGCATTCAATTGATAACCACATTTTGATAATACATTTATATAATATCATAAAACACAGAATCCATAAAAATTAAATCAGACAACAGAATTTCAGAAAAATTGTTGTTAAAACAAAAGTTGTTAAAGTTTTATGAATTTAATTGATTAGACATATTTCTGATTGTTAAAATTTAATTAAATCATTAAAATGGAATAAAAAAAGGAAAAATAAAATAAAACGGAATTTGAGAAAAAATAAAATTTATTTCTTAGGACTCTATACAGTCCCACTTTATATTAGGTGTTTTAACTACTATGTACTTGCAATGCATTTACTGTTTTCATGTTTAATTGCAAAACACTTTTGCTGTTACTGAGGTTGGATATGGTTAGGAACAGGATTGTTGGTAAGAATGGGTTAAGGAGTAGAAGTAGGGTCAAAAGTGTAATTATAGATGTAATTACATGCAGATATTTTTTTAAATATATGCACAATGTCAAAACATATGTACAAAATAAATGCACTGTATCAAATGATTAATTTAAATCTTAGTATATAGTAATAAAAGACACTTAAATATGCAGACAGAAGCATGGCACTAGAAAAGCCAAGGTCAATGCTCAAACAATAAAGCATGGTGCTAGCAACGCCAAGGACATTGGTTCGATTCCCAGGGAAACCAAGAACTGATTTAAAAAAAAAAAAAAATTAAATGTATACCTTGAATCAGAAAAAAATCTTCCAAATGCATAAATGTAAATGTAATGTGGGTCCACTTGGTTTCTTAAAACACTAGAAGATCATCTGTTTAATCCGGAAAAGTAAACTAATGTTTTAGATGAATGACAAATATGTGACCCTGGACCACAAAACCAGTCATAAGGGTCAATTTTTCGAAATTGAGATTTATACATCATCTGAAAGCTGAATAAATAAGCTTCCCATTGATGGTATGGTTTGTTAGGATAGGACAATATTTGGCTGAGATACAACTATTTGAAAATCTGGAATCTGAGGGTGCAAAAAAATCAAAATACTGAGAAAATCGCCTTTAAAGTTGTCCAAATAAAGTTCTTAGCAATACATATTACTAATCAAAAATGAAGTTTTGATATATTTACAGTAGGAAATTTACAAAATATCTTCATGGAACATGATCTTTACTTAATATCCTAATAATTTTAGTAAACTATGAATATATTACCCTAGAAAGTGCTGCCCTACCACAATTTCTGATTGGCCCCCCCAGTCCAGCGAGCCTAGTACCGGGCCTGGTCACATATGATGTTTAAAAGAGACAGAGGGATAGTTTAGACCACCTGGGAAAACATAAATGCAGTTTAAAAGGAACATGATCAAATTTGTTTACTTAAAAAGATAGTTCATCCAAAAATGAAAATTCAGTCAAAATTTACTCACCCTCATGTTGTCCCAAACCTGCATGACTTTCTTTCTTCTGTGGAACATAAAAGAAGACATTATGAAAATATCTCTCTCTGTGTGTGTGTTTTCCCCAAGTACACATTGAATGTCATTGGGGTCGCACTGACTGGAAAAATACTTTAAATATTCATCAAAATATCTTCTTCCACAGAATGTCTTGTTGTGAAGAAGAAAGTAAGTCATTCAGTTTTGGAATGGGTAAATGATGACGGAAATGCAGTTTTGTGTGTGTGTGTGTGTTTGATACATGTGATTTCTTGTGTAATATGAAAGTCATCAATACACATTTAAAGGTGGAGCTTGTTAAGGCACAACATAATTCTTCAGCTTTAAAAGTGTTATCCTTCTGTAGGTATGACAGTTGCTCCCGCTGAGGTTGACACAGCTGTCTGTGAGTGTCTGGTGCAGCTCTGTGAAGAATGGGAATAGAAAAGGTCAAAGGACACTTGCATTTCAGTAGATGTCAAAACAGGTGCTAGCAACTGAGAGGTACACAGCTTACTCCCTGCCCCACAAAGATGCTCTTTGAATAAAGACAAATAATTTTGTATTATATGTTTTTATTGGTTATTTATTCGCAATTCACATTTCATGTGAGAAGCATTTCTGTGATTTGCTGTTAAGTATAAAATCTCTGACTAGCTGCTGAACACCTTCACATGTATTTTTCCAGTCACAAGTAGGGTACCATTTTAGTAAATGAAGGCTAGATTTTATTAAACAGCAGACCAAATGGTCATATGGCAGGAAATGCACTCTGACCCCATCCTGTCACTCCTTAAAAGACCCACATGAAACAGGCAGGGTGTCAAAATAGGATATGGATTGGTTCAACTGGTGTCAGCAATCTCACTGAAAAGCAGAGGTTCCCAATGAATGAACATGTTAGCATTGGTGGTCAGGGTAAAGTTGGGGTAACTAGGTCAAAACTGACATAATCGTACTGCCTGACAAATGAACGAAGAATAATAGGTGTGTGAAAATCAAGGATTCTACTTTCAAGACTATTTACTGCAGCCTGAAGCTGTGACATGCGACATTAAAAAGTAATGTGATTGTAGTATAGTCAGATCAGTGTTAAGAAAATAATTCACAATAATCATCAAATGGTCTACATTTTTGTTACTGCATCATCATTCTGGGTTTCACAGCTGTCTAAAACAATTATCACGTTTGATCCTTCACATGCACATAAAGACAGACTCACATGTAAAAGTAAACATGCATTATACAGAATAGAATTATTTATATTTTCATTGAGCATCATCAACTTAAAAAATATTCTTTAAGATAATCTTTTAAACAACCTAAACAAGGTTGCTCTGTTTTACAGTTGTATTGTCACATGACTTTAGCTACTACAGATGGTCACAGGTCACTGTTTCTCTAAATGTCAGCTTAAGGTAGAAGAAACCTTATTAAATGTCTTTGTTATTCTTAGAGGTTATTCTTATGCAATAGGCAAGGTGTCACATTGGACAATATCTGTAACTTTTAATTATTTTCTGTATTTCATTGAAAGTTTTCCACAGCACTGCTAGAAAATGGGTTGTTGTACACATTATATATTTTATCAAACATAATAGCCTATGTTTTATCACTAAAACAAAGAAAAACATGGGAGTGCGCATTGATAAATCCCGTTCAAATGTGTTTAAACACGCATGGATTACAAGCTTTTTATTCGAGGTACAGTATGTTTCGTTAAAAACGAATATCAGCTATTGTGTTGGCTATTTGTAGATTTATTGTCAACAAAGCAGTTGTATATCAGCAAGGGTTGGTCGAAATAGTAGGATTTTCAGCAGGTGGCGGTAAAGCACCTATTAGCTGGTTTGCCAACCGCCAAAAACGCTTAAGAAGAAGAAGAAGAATAGTAGGATTTTGATGAGAGCTGCGGGCTGTGTAACTTCCTATGTTTACTACCGGGCAAGATGGCGGCGCCCACGTAACGACAGCGCGGAGCACGCTGAGTTTAGAATAAAAGCCTTATTTTTCTTGAGAATTCAATCTGAAAACAAATTTAAACACCAACTGAACAAACGAAAGTTTTTTTTTCGGTCGATCGCCTACATTGTATCGATTAATTTATCATGTTGCACAGCGCATTGGAATCTGAAAGAGCTGTGAAATGTTCACGAGCATGCATGTGTGTTTAGAGCTGCTGGTTATCGTGTCGATAGAGACAAATCACGGGGAAACACAAGACCATTGATGCTTTTAGTGGAAGTATAAGCAGTACAGTAAAGGCATGCGGTGTGTGAAGGCATTGCAGCTCACCCTTGCGGTCGTCAAACCAGATGCTGTGGCCCATCCGCTCATTCTGGAGGTGAGATGACACTACACTGCACCTGTTTGATTATATAAATAATTAAAGAAAAATTCAACGAACTTTGTGGAGTCTACATTACATACATCATGTGGATGTGCTATTTTTGAGTCCCCCGTTGACAGAAGCAACTGAAATTCAGTAGGGGGTCTGTGACTTGTTAAAAGGCCTATATCTTAGTAATAAGATTTTGATTATAAACTCCAATTACTACATGAAAGTGTATTTTCTCTAACAGTTGTTTTGTATTTGCTATTTTGTAGCAAATTATTCATTTACTTGGGTAGTTAAACCAATATTGAAAATGCTGTCATTATTTACTCAAAGGTAGTTCCAAACCTTTATGACTTTTTTCCCTGCAAAAAAACAAACATAAGAAGATATTTTGAAGAATGTTGGTAACCGGACAGTTTTGATGAGCTTTGGCTGTCATTGTACAGACAAAAAACACTGACTTATATATATATATATATATGTGTGTGTGTGTGTATGTGTGTATATGTATACATATGTATGTATGTATGTATGTATGTATGTATATGTGTGTGTGTGTGTATTATGTATTCAAATGAGAGCAATAAAAATTAAAGACTTACTAAAACTGCATGTCGTGTGACCATTAATCAACATCAGAGAACTATGAACATGCAAATGTGAAGTATGAAATGCAAAATAATTTGAAATATTATAAAAATTAATTATATAAATCTAGAAGTTTCAGGGGGTACTTCAAGTAAATATTTTAGGTTAAAGGCTGACAAAAAAGTTTGGGAATCCCTGGCTTACTTCATATAGTTACTTACCCCGCTATAAAAAAAATTAAACCTATCATGAGCAATATTCACTGGAGTAACAAGTGTGACAACTAGCCCCAGTCTCCCCTATCCCCGTCCTGCTGAATGTTACCCTTTTAATGAAGAAAGATGGATGTCTTGTTGTAACTCAATATATGTGGAGGCTTAAAGCTACATAATCATTTGTCTTTACTATTAAAACAAGCCAATGTCTCGCCTGATTTAATTTCCGCTGTCTGTTGCTTTAAAGAGATGAAGGTGCTTTTAATTAGTAACAATTTCCTCATGCAACGTGGTTTACAAACTGAAGCCCTGATTGCTTTAATTTACACCACCGAGACTAAACCTCTTAATTAACTATTTTTATTTCTATGCTAAGATCCTTTGTCGTCTTGTTGTTGAGGGCAAACATGAAATGAAAAGACCTACAGCAAAACTGCAACAGGCTTCCATTAGCATAGCAATGCATTTTCACCGACAATGAGTTTTAGTTTTAAGAGATGCAGATGGGCACAGGAGCACAGAAACATTTGAATATAATATTTCTTTTCATTTCAGGCTCTTCATCAGAAGATTCTCGAAAACTTCATTATAGTCAGAAAGAAGGATCTGATGTGGAGAACAGAAGATTCAGAAAAGTTTTATGCTGAACATGCAGGTAGAAAAGGATCGCTCTTCCTATAAATCCACTGCATGAATGAAAAAGGTCTGTGTTTGTAACAGATCGAATGGTTAAGTACATGTGTGATGCGTGATTTTAAACAGGGTGAGTCATAGTAAAGGCTTCACATAATGTTGACACAGCATGTGGAGAGAGAACATGGTACTCAGTCTCAGCTTATCATACATATCCTGCATCCAAAGAAAAGCAGCTGCCTCACATTCATATGTCTGTATTATGTATGCAAGAGCCTTTTCAGACCATATTAACCATAAACCACATCAACCTCGTTGGCTTATTCCTAGTGGATAAATTGATCAAAAGATAAGCAGCAGTTTATTTTTGGTTATCATCCCTGACTGTTTTTATTTTACAGGACGTTTTTTCTATCAAAGACTGGTTGAATTCATGTCAAGGTAAATGTTTATTGTCATTTCTCCACTAATCATTCAAGTGCTTATGGTTAATAATGTTTTTGTAAAAAAAACACTTATTTGATATAATGGCTCTCTGAAGGAGCTAGAAGGAGGTTTATATTCACAGGTATATTTTTATGTACAGGATTGTGGACATACAGTATATTTGTATGTATGATTAAATAATTTGAAGCTTTAAGCTGTAGATCTATCTATTGATCTAATATATATGAAACAATATATGTATAAATAATATATATATATATATGTGTGTGTGTATTTTCTGTTTCATTTTAATTTAATTTTGTGTCAGGCACAGTGTGTGCCTGACGAAGATCTTTGACCGAAACATTGGCACTTTTAAGTATTTCTAAATAAAGGGAGAATAACAGTGTGCAGATCTTTTTTGTATTATTTGATAAAGGTAAAACTTGTTCATAGTACCAGGAAGAGGAACAACTGCTGTAGAATTCTTGAAACTGTATGTTATTGGACTGAACATGCATTTATGGAAGTCAAAGGTTGACCATGTAACTAACCCCTTGTAGCTTCACGAGTCTTGACAACAGCTTTTCCTCAAATTACCCTCTGAGCTGATTATCCTACAGGTTCACAGACATTATTCATTAAAGGCAGTTAAATCACTGCATTCAGAAGGAGTGGAAAGGAATGGATGTACTTGATTTAGCTTTGTGTTCTACTTGAATATTAACACATACTCTACCATTCAAATGTTTGGGGTCAGTAAGAAGTTGTTAATACTTTCAATCAGCGAGGATGCATTAAATCGATCAAAACTGACAGCAAATAAATTTATAATGTTATAAATATTTAAAATAAATGTTTTTTGAACTCCATTCAATATAACAGCACAACTGTTTTCAACATTGATAATAAAAAAATCAACTTGAGCACCAAATCAGCATATTAAAATAATTTCAGAATAGATTACATTTTAAAATGATGAAAACAGAAAAGTTGTTTTAAATTGTAATAATATTTTACAATATTACAGTATTTTGTGTTATATAAATGCAACCTTGGTGAGCAAGATTTCTTTTAAAAACATTACAAAAAATGTTACTGACCCTAAACTTTTGAGTGGTAGTGTATTTTAAATTATTGTGAAACTACAGATGCTGTATGCTGTACTGTTGCTCTTCCTCTCAAAAAGAATAATTAATGCAGATATACAGTGGGTACGGAAAGTATTCAGACCCCCTTAAATTTTTCACTCTTTGTTATATTGCAGCCATTTGCTAAAATCATTTAAGTTAATTTTTTTTCCTCATTAATGTACACACAGCACCCCATATTGACAGAAAAACACAGAATTGTTGACATCTTTGCAGATTTATTAAAAAAGAAAAACTGAAAAATGCTCAGTATTTAGTAGAAGCACCCTCTTGATCTAATACAGCCATGAGTCTTTTTGGGAAAGATGCAACAAGTCTTTCACACCTGGATTTGGGGATCCTCTGCCATTCCTCCTTGCAAATCCTCTCCAGTTCTGTCAGGTTGGATCAGATTTAATCAAAAATATCTTAAATTGTGTTCCGAAGATGAACGAAGGTCTTACGGGTTTGGAACAACACGAGGGTGAGTAATTAATTACAGAATTTTTGGGTGAACTAACCCTTTAACAGTTAAAGGAATAGTTTTAAAAATTAAAATTTGCTAAAAATGTACTCATCCTCAGGCTATCCAAGATGTAGATCAGTTTGTTTCTTCATCACAACTGATCTGGAGAAATTTAAATCACTTGCTTGGATCCTATGTAGTGAATGGGTGCCATCAGAATGAGAGTCAAAACAACTGGTAAAAACATAAAAGTAATTACAAGTAATCCACATGAATTCAGTCTATCAATTAACATCTTTTGAAGTGAAAAGCTGAATGTTTGTAAGAAACAAATCCATCATTAAGGCGTTATAACTTTAAAGTTGAAACTGTTGCTTCTGGACAAAATGCAAGTCCTCTATCCATAATACCGCTTCCTCCAGTACGGACGCAACGGTTTAAAGTTAAAAACATGTTAGTGGTGGATTTGTTTATTACAAACATGCAGCTTTTCACTTCTCAAGATGTTAATTGATGGAGTTGTGTGGATTACTTGTGGATTATTGTTAGTGATGTTTTTATCAGCTGTTTGGACTCTCATTCTGACGGCACCCATTCACTGCAGAGGATCCATTGGGAAGCAAGTGATTTAAATTTCTACAAATCTGTTGTGATGAAGAAACAAACTCATCTACATCTTGGATGATCTGAAGATGAGTAAATTTTCAGCAAATTTTCATATTTGGGTCAACTGTTCCTTTAACTGGCTAAATAGACTAGATCAAATAAATATCGAAACAGTTAATAACCTCTCTAGAAAAGGCCTAATGAGTGTTTGTTTTAAAACTCTAAATATTATCCTAAACCATAACACGGTTTTACAAAATAAAGACAAATTTCTTAAATATTTTAAATGATAAAAATGTTCTACTATTCTAAAGTTTCAACATTTTCTTTCTTTCAGATTCAGTTGAATCTGCCAAGAGAGAGATTTCATTTTTCTTTCCAGAATTCAATGCAGATGAGTGGATGTCGAGGGAAGAGCCACGTTTTAGGTTGGGACTTACTGAATATGATGAGGAGAGACAAATTCATACTCTCCAGGACACATGCTGATCACTGGTCTGATGGTGCTTTTACAGGACTACATGAATATGACTTTCACCGGATGTTTCAGCAATTGATGTTTTCTCTGCATTGCCATGTTACACTTTTGTGACCACAAAATATCTCCACCGCAGCTCTGCCAACACTATTCTATTCATTTGTATGTGTTTTATATGTATGTATAAATTAATATTTGTTCTAGCTTTGTAGTAGATGTCAATAAATGTTTGCCTCAACGTAGCAAACTCTAAACACAGTTCTTTTTTAAGTTACACAGTATCCCTGTTATGATATACTAACAGAATATAGTTAGGACTGCAAAGGTGTAACAATGGGAATTTAAAATATATAAAGAGGTTTTTGAAACAGCATTCCTTTCCATTTAGGAAAATTTGTAAATTGTGTAATGATTGTTGAATGTCCATTTGACACTTTTAAGATTCCTTAAAACAGTGGGGGGTTTTGATTTCAATTTTATGAGATTCCTTTGAGAAACCCCAAAAAATAATTGTAAAATATCCTGACAACCACATTATTCTTTAGATTAACTTGACATTTTACATTAAGGCTCAATTAATTAACATTAGTTATTGCATTAGGTATCAGGAACTTACAATGAACAATACATTTTTAATTTTTTTATTCATTGTTACATCAGTTAATTATAAACCATTGCTCAAAAAATATTTAGGCTTATATATTCAAGATTTTAATTTCTAATTTATAAAATTTCCAACCATTTGGATTAAACCATTTTAATATTAATAAACATTATGATGAATATTTATCAGTCATACATGAATGAAACAAGAATGAGATTTATTTAATAGTATTAAAGTATTGTCGCCTCTGGCTTGCTTAGTTGGGGACACTTCATTTCCAGCGATATCGTCGCCTTGATTGCACAGAGTAATAGTATTAAAGCAAATACGTTTTAAATGCGCAATAACCAGGTTTATAAATTCATCATCACTCAATTAAATTTATTAATTGCATACAGTTTAACTAATTGAATCTTGCTTGTTCCACAACTAGCATTATTTGAACCATATTCATACTTTTTAACTGATTTTATTGAACTGTTTTCAAAATCAACCGATTTAATGCCAATTTTAAGGAATTTGAAAATATGACTTTAAATAAAATGGATTCAAATTCACAATAATAACCTATGCCAAGTGTACCTAATGTTATTTTTTTTTTTACAAATGAGTAATAAATATAAAATAAAAATACAAATATTAGTATATGTAGAAATTAACATTAACCTATATTAATAAATGCTGTAAAAGTATTGTTCATTGTTACTTCATAATACCTAATGAATTAATGTTAATATATAGAACCTTTTTGTAAAATGTTAATTCAGAGACTGAAGCAAGAGAAAGATTGGGATACAGTAATAGTTATTATGCACTTCCAAATTACCACAATAGATATTTAATTACTCAACAATAAACATCATCTTCCAGTCAGTAAAGCAGTGATATATCAAACAATATTGGAATAACAAAACAGAGCTGCTTTATATTCTTGCATACTACCTTTCGCAGTAGTGCTAGCTTGCTACAGAAGCTGTAATTAGGTTTTGAACAAATGTTTGCACTTGTACCCCAAAAGGCTAAAGGCAACAATAGTGTGGTAGTAAGAGCCCTGATTTTCAAATCCAAAATCAAAATTAAAGCAGTACATCAACTTCAAGCCACCCTTTTTCTGGGAAAAAATGTGTGTTGTTGGTATGTTTTTTTTAACTATGCAAGTATAATTTTTACACTTTTCACAAAATCAATCAGCCGGTCGTTAAGGTCCACCTATCCTGTGCTTTGAGTATAAGTACAGTAGATGCTTTTACTAAGATTCTTTTTGTTTGCAGCAAATATATATATATATTTTGACAGACATTACAGTGGAAAGATGTACATAAAAAATAGACATTATTAAAGGGGTCCTATTATGCTCTTTTACAAAGTTTTGATTTTGTTTTGGGGGTGTACTAGAACAGGCTCTCATACTAGGTTGTTCGAAAAACACATTATTTTTCACATATTTT